TAGAACATGCATAAATAATATAAAACAAATAAAGGTTAAAGGTTCTTGGGATAGTTAAGACAAGAAGAAAGTGTTGTATGACAATAAAGCAAACAATATACTTGCATCTGCACTAGGTATAATGAATTCTTTCGGGTGTCAATTTGTAAAACAACCAAAGAGATTTAGTACATATTAGAGGTGACACATGAAGGTGCGATAGATGTAATGAGATCTAAACTAAACACTATATCACAAGAATATGAATTGTTTATAATGCAGCCTGGTGAATCAACTATTGATTTGCAAAAGAGATTCTCACACTTGAAAAATCATTTGATGGCTCTTGGAAAATATTTACAAATGATGATTTTAATCTCAAAGTCCTTAGATCATTAACAGTGGCATGGCAACCAAAGGTAATGGTAATATTGAGAAAGAAAAGTCTCTCACAAATGTTTTCGCCCGCGTTGTTCGGTAAACTTCAAGAATATGAAATAGAACTTGAAAGGCTAGAAAATAATAAAAATCTAGAAAATAACCCAAAAGTCTTTCCTTAAAAACTAGAGTCAAAGACAATGATATTAGGAAGTGCAAACACGCTCGTCGCCGAAGCCTAAATTGAAGAAAATGTGACAAGATCAAAAAGGAAAAACATTTTTCCTCAAAGACTCAAGGATTGTGAGTTGTTATGAGACAACAAAGTGAACGATGAGGGTAATTTCATTCATTTTTCACTTATAGTCGAATCTGAACCCGTTAAAATGAAAGAAGCTTTAAGTGATCCAAAATGGATTTGTCCTATGAAAGAGGAAATGAAATCTATTGAGAAGAACAATACTTGGGAGTTGGTTGATCTACCAGACGGGAAGAAGCCAATTGGTGTGAGATGGGTGCTCAAAGTCAAAGCAAATCTCAAGGGATAAATAATCAAGTATAAGACTCGATTAGTTGCAAACGGATTCTTGCAAAGAGGAGGCGTAGAATTTGAAGAGGTATTCACACTGGTTGCTAGGATTGAAAATTTAAGGCTAGTTGTTGGTAGTGAAAATAACAACAATTGGTCAATCTATCAAATGGACGTCAAATTTGCATTTTTTGAACGGGCTGCTTGAAGAAGAGGTGTATGTAAAACAACCCCTTGATTTTGTTGTTAGAAACAAGAATCAAAGTTCTACAAGTTGAAGAAAGCATTGTATGGTTTGAAGCAAGCTCCAACAGTTTAGAACAAAAGGATATATGGTTTCCTAAAGAAGGTTGGCTTTAAGAAATGTGTATCAGAAGCGTGTATGTGAAAACGGATACAAGTGAAGGAGAGATTATCATGTGTCTATATGTAGACGACTTGTTGATAATGGGAAGTGATAAAAAGTTCAAGAGTGAACTTATGAAAGAGTTTGAAATGACCGACCTTGATCTCATGACATAATTCATCGGCATTTAGTTCCACAAGTCCAAAAAGAGGTTGTTCATGCACTAAATGAGGTATGCGTTTGAGATATTGAAGAAGTTTGAAATGAAGCACTGTAATATTGTCATTACTCTGACTTAACCGAGGCTACAATTGTTGAAAAGTGAGGATGAACAATATGTTGGTCCAACTCAATATAGGCTGATTGGATCCTTGCGTTATTTGTGCAATGCGCGATTGAACTTGGCGTTTAGTGTTGGTATTATAAGTATATTCATGGAGATGTCAGAGGTGTCTCACTTGGAAGCAGTTAAGAGGATCCTAAGATATGTTAAATGATCGATTGGTTGTGGAATTCTCTTTCCCACCATGAATACAAGCAGAAAATACAATTTGCTCGGTTTTACAGATTCCAATTGATGCAAAGGTAAATATTATCGAAAGTCTACAACTGGATACATCTTTATATTCTGCAGAACACCAATATCATGATGTTAGAAGAAGGAACCGGTAATATCTCTCTCCTCTTGTGAGGCCGAGTACATTGTCACTTCGTTATGTGTGTGCCAAGCCGTATGGCTAATAAATCTATTGAATAAGTTAGCCAGAAATGAAGGTGATGTTATTACACTCCTGGTTGATATCATTTTTGCGATTAATCTTTCTAAGAATCCAATTGCACATGGGAGGATAAGAAAGCACATTGAGACGAGGTTTCACTACTTGAGGGAACTTGCTAGTGAAGGAAAATGAGATTGGGATACTGTCGAAGTGAAAAACAAGTTGCTGATTTGTTGACCAAATGAGTCATAATTGAAATGTTTAAGAGGTTGAAGGTGAACATAAGCATGTAAGAATTGGAACACTTGAATTAAAGTGGTGTGTTAAGAGTAAAATCAGTAATTCAAGTGTTGTAACCGGTTACCACGGACGTGTAATTGATTACAGTTGTGTGAAAAAGTAATCAAAAAGCTAAAAAAAGAAAATTCTCGTTGGTGTAACCGGTTTCGCATTTGCAATAACCAGTTATCACTGTTGTATTTTTAAAATTTGTTTCAACTGTAACCGGTTATAGGTTTAGTGCAATCAATTACAAGTACAAAATTTTCAATTTTGTGTTATTTTGATGATGGAACTTGTGTCCCAATTCGCTTGTAAATATTTATATATTTTGGAGATATTGTTAACAATGTTAATATAAAAAAAATATTCTCACCTTAGATCTCTCTCTCATTCTCTTTCATTCTCTCTCCTCACTTCACACTCAATTTTTTCATTATTGATTAATTTTGCAATTTTAAATTCTAACATATTTTGATTTGCACATTTGAAATTGATTCTCAACTCTTCTCCATAGGCCCTTAAACCTCACTTTAATGAATAACCTTTTTTTTTCCAAAATGAATGAATTGAAGCTCTTAACCTAAAGACTTAACTTTAGTGCTCTACAAAATAAAGGAGAATGTTTTCTCATTCACACATTTATCTAAAAAACATATGCATTATTACATTGATGAATTCAAAATTATCACTTTTTCCGGGTGCTAATTGTCATACTTCAAATGTTCCTACATCACTCAAGCCAACTAGATTCGATCTCCTCTAAGATATTGGCTTATATGCAACACTCATGATTTTAGAAGATTTCTTAGTCTCTCTATTTGTGCTAATATTTATAGCGATTTTTTTTTGAATCAAGAAAGAATATATTAACTCAAAAAACACGTCAAGTACAGAAACGATGATCCAACCCACCTACAGACTCAATTACATCATAAAACTAATAAGGTGTTTTCTAATTCTATTGTTTTGCCATCCTCTATAAATCACATTATCTATGAAATTTTTGTAACCATGTTTGTATTCTCTAAAGTGTTTTAAAAAATAATACTATTTCTATATTTCCAAATGCTGTAGACAGTTTCAGCTGTGAGCATCTTCAATATATCATCTTTTCACCTTTTACCCCTTTACCCTTTTTGAGATCAGTGATCCATATTAACTCCGCTTTCCATTGTTGGGGTCCGTGTTGTATGTTAAACCACTTGAGGATTTCCTTCCATATGTGTCTTGTTCTCGGACAGTGGAAAAAAAAGGTGATTTATCGTTTCTTCTTCAGCCTTGCACAAACTGCATATGTTGTCTTCAATCATTCCGAACCGTTTCAATCTTTCTTTGATTGCAAGCTTCCCATACACGCTTGCCATAGACATTGTACTGCTCGCGGTTGTCCTTTGTGGAATCTGATCAGTTTTCTCCAAGGTACTCTTGTGCAATTATCAATTAGTATCTTATAAAAGGCTATGACTTTAAATTTGTGTGTGGTTATAGCTTGGGTCCATTCATGCCGGACATTGTCCATGTATTCTCTTTGTTTCAAGATGCCCCGTATGATCCACGAATTATGTGTTTTGGTTACATACGTCATCACATCCTTGCCTTTTAAGTAGTGCGCGTGGATCCATTTGACCCACAATGTGTCGGTTTTGTTGCAAAGATTCCACAGACATTTCAAGAGAAGTACATTGTTTCAGGTCTAAAGGTGTAAAATGTTCATCCCACCTTGAGTAGTGGGGCTGCAAGCAGTTTTTCAGGCCACCAGGCATTTTCTGCTCACAGTATCTTTTTCAGTCCAAATAAAACTTTGGCAAATAACATCTACCTTCTTGATCACGCATTTGGGTAGGGGAAGGCAATGCATCCAGCACTGTGCCATTGCATAAGCGACTTTAGAAACAATTAATGTTTTATTTATTTATTTATAAATAATATAAGTATTTCTAACTAAACATGACAACATAATTTATATTCATGGAGACTTGTGTGAATCTCTCATAAATTTAATGGAATAATTTGCTTTGATTGATGTTGAGTTCAACTTTTTTTCAATTATAAAATATGGAGACATGTTAAATAATGGAGACACTCTTATCTACTCTGAATTTATCATATTTTTTTATTATATATTTTATCATTTAGTTTTGATAATTTAGAATATTAAATATATGACCAATTATATAATATTTTGATTTATTCTTTATAATTTGAAATGTATGAAATTTTTTGATATTATTTTATTTTATTATTTGTAATGATAAAAAAAATAACACATTTTTTGCGCTATATAAGTTTATAGAGTAATTGTTGAAAACGTTGTATAACAACTAATTTTAGGAGTAATTTATACTATATTTAACTAATTCTATTCTTATCACATAAACTTTCTAGCTCAGGTTGATAATCTAAAGCACAATGTTACCAAAAACATTCTGGTATATTGCCAAAACACAATCATATCCTACGTGTAACATGTCGTAATCTAATTCTTAAAATTATTTGAAAGGTTAAAACAAAAACAAAAAACAAAAAACAGCTATTGGGACATGTCATTTTAACCGACAACAACCTAAATTCCACCTCAAATAGACAAATATAGTTGAAATTTGTTTCTCCTATGTTTCTGTTTATCAATTATCGTTCATACAAATACATGATTGATCAACGTTTAACCTCAAAGCAAATTCATCTGCTTTCTTTTCATTAGTCAAAAACAAAAGACAAAACTGAAATTTACATTTCGGAAGAATAGAAAAGAGAAGAAGAATCAACCATGGTTCTACCTGCATGTTACGATATAAACATGATTAATCCAAGTAGAATATGGCAAACTGATAATGTCTTAAAAAACGAGCTTCCGATTCTCGCATTTCAAGTCGGTTTTGTGGTGCTGATTTCTCGTTGCTTCTTCTTTATATATAGACCTCTTCATCTACCTCGTATCTTGTCCCAACTCTCGGTAAGTATCCTGACCGCTACGATAAACTCTAACAATATTCTTTCTCACAATTAACATGTTGGAAATAATCTTCTGTAGGTTGGTTTTCTACTAACTCCGCCATTAATTGGGAAATACACGGAGGTTTTCACATTCATTTTTCCGGTGACCGGTGTTCTTAACGTTGAAGTTCTATCGCATATTGGTATAATCTATTATGCATTTCTGAGTGGTTTGGAGATAAACTTGAATGTGATTTTACATGTCAAGAAGAAAGCGGGAAGCATTGCGGTTGCCGGGATAGTTTTTCCGATGATGATGGGACCGCTTTTATATAAACTACATAGAATAAGTTATGACAAAGGTGATGAGGCGGCAATTGAACCAAGTACACTGAATGCTTATGTATTATGGACTTTAGTTCTTACTGTCACTGGTTTTCCTGTTATAGCTCATTCTCTTTCTGAGTTGAAGCTTCTGTATACTGCTCTTGGTGAAGCTGCATTAACAGCTTCTATGGTCAGTGACACATATGCATGGCTTTTATTCACACTGTTTGTTCCGTTTTCGATTAATGGTAAAGACGCGATATACTCGGTGTTGAGTACAATAATATTTGTTATCATTTGCATCTTCATTGTGCGTCCTATCATTGTTCAAGTCATCGATCGCATGACGGAAAGAGACGAATGGGATGATAACAAGTTGCTTTTTGTGGTTATGGGACTTTTGGTTTGCTCACACATAACAGATATTCTTGGTACACATGCTGTTGTTGGTGCTTTTGTGTATGGATTGATTTTGCCTCATGGGAAATTTGCTGACAAAGTGGTGTCAGCCTCAGATGATTTTGGAATCGGATTTCTCGCGCCGCTGTTCTTTAGTGGCACAGGAATGAGACTCATGATTACCACCATTTTCAAACAGCATAACTGTTTTGTGACACTTATTATTATAATCTTGCTGTGCTCTATAAAGATTCTAGGCACTATGTTTGCAGCTTTCTTCTTTGGCATGCGCAATCGTGACAGTTTCGCTCTAGGCTTGATTCTGAATACCAAAGGCGCCATTGCACTCATAATGCTCAACATCGCTTGGGATCGATCGGTATTAATACTCTTCAAACTTAACTTTTATCTAATATTTTTCAAAAGATATGTTATTTGGACACAGAAGTTGATGTCTGGTCTGACACTCTTGATGCCAACTTCTGTGTCCAAATATCATTCCTAATACACTAATCTGATACTCTGATTGATGTCAACATCTGTGTCCAAATATCGTTCCTAATACACTAATGTTTGATTTGTTATAATGTGTGAGTGCAGATTCTTGCTGTACCAACCTATGTTGTTCTATCCTCTTCAGTTCTTCTAATGACTATAGTGGTGTCTCCTATCATCAATGCCATTTACAAGCCTAGAAAGAGATTTGAGCAAAACAAGTTGAAAACCATACAAAAGCTAAGAAATGATGCAGAACTCAGGATTCTAGCATGTGTTCACAATACTCGACAAGCCACCGGGATTACAAGCCTAATCGAATTATTCAATGCCACTAGGATTTCGCCATTACATGTTTTCGCACTTCATCTTGTCGAACTCACAGGACGCGCCGCAGCACTTGTTGCTGCTCATATGGAGAAACCAAGTGGCCAACCAGGAGCACAGAATCTAACACAATCTCAAGTAGAACAAGAAAGCATCAACAACACGTTCGAAGCATTCGGAGAAGTATACGATGCTATACGAGTCCAAACATTGAACGTTGTCTCCGCCTTCGAAACCATTCACGAAGATATATACAATTCAGCTAACGAAAAACGCACCAGCCTGATCATCATTCCGTTTCACAAACAGTTAAGCTCAGAAGGCGCACTCGAAACAACCAGGGTCGTGTATAGAGACATAAACATGAATGTCATGCAAAGTGCACCTTGTTCAGTAGGAATATTCGTCGATCGCGATATCAATTCTATACCAAAAACAAACTTCTGTATCCGTATGATCTTCGTTGGTGGACCGGACGACCGCGAAGCCATGGCAGTTGCATGGAGGATGGCAGGTCATCCAGGAATCAACCTATCAGTGGTGAGAATGCTTCTGTTTGATGACGCTGCAGCAGTGGACACATCAGTTAATGTTGAATCACAAGGTATACTATCAGCAGTAATGGATAACGAGAAACAAATGGAGTTAGACGACGAATACGTGAATTCGTTTCGACTAACAGCAGTGAACAATGATGACTCTATTACATATTCAGAGGTTGATGTTCATTTAGGTGAAGATATTCCGAAAATACTTAACCAGATAGATTCATATGGTTGTGATTTGTATATAGTTGGACAAGGTAATTGTAGAAACTCTCAAGTGTTTTCAGATATGTTGGAATGGTGTGATTGTCCGGAACTTGGAGTTATAGGGGATATTTTGGCGTCGAATAATTCTGGTTCACGTTCTTCTGTGCTGGTTGTGCAACAATATGGATATGGAGGAATGGTTTTAGGAAAACAGTCTAAAAATGTGAGTACTAATGAGGATGGTAGTAAGACACTTGTTGTGAAATCAGAATAAGAATGATGGTTTTGTTTTGTGTGTAGATTTTGTACCTGATTCATTTATATGTAAACAAAATTTTATTTATTATCCTATACATTAATGCTTTAACACTCATCACTTTTAGAAACATCATAACATGAAAGTATGCCATTTATACCTATGAGAATTACTTACAACAACTTTTCTTAACTAACAGACAACTAAAAAATAGTAAACCTACTCAGTAACTAATACGATAAGACTGTTGGTCTTACATTACTATTTTTCAGTAAAAGAAATTTCATCCTCAAAACTTTAATAAGAGTAACAAACACATCTCTGATACCATCATCGACTCTTTATACTACATGTATTTTATTAGCAGTATCTACTATGTCACATACATTCTCAAAGTTCTAAACTCCACACCATGCAATGTGATCATAACACAAAATTTCATCTTTACATAATTTCATCCACGCAACACCAGGCTCATGCATAAAAAAATACAGTGGTCGAACTCACTCTTAGTGAAATCAATGTATGCCATAAACCTGTTGAATCTCCTATTTCATTGTCAAAAAGATTGTTTCAGGCCATACAAAGACCTATTCAATTAACTTGCACACATAATCCTCCTTGCCTTTTTTTGCATACACTTCAGGTTGTCTCATAAAAAATGGTTTCATCTAGATCACCATACAAGAAAATTTTCTTCACATCCATCTGTTCAAGTTATAGGTCGAACTTCACCACCATAGCAAGCAATATTCAAATGAATCTATGCTTTACAACAAGTGAGAACACATAATTGAATTCGGCACCTTCTTTCTGAGTGAACCCTCTAGAAACAAATCATTCCTTAAATCGCTTCAACATCCCTCCTTCGTTTCCTTCCTTAACCTTGAAAGTCTACTTACAGCTGACTAACTTGGTCCTTACAGGTTTCTCGATCAGCTCCCAAGTGTTATTATCATGAAGAGATTTCATGTCATAATCCTTACCTTTCAGCCATTCATTCTTATTTCGACTTTTTAAAACTCCCTTGTAGTCTTTAGGTTCTTCATCAAAAACCTCACCTGCATAAATTAAGGCAAAAACTATGAGATCTGCATAATCAAGTATCTAAGATAGCTGGATGACTATTCTCGACCTGTCTCATGCCAGGAGGTAGTTATTATGAGTCACCTTAATTTCGTCACAAGTTATGCTTATTCTTCAACTTCATATGGGTTATGAAATTCAATATCACTATGCTCCAGCTCAACATGAATCTCTTCCTATTCCAAATCTTCTACTGAGATCTTTGTCTTTTGACCAACATCATCAGTTTTCTTGAACACTATTTCTGCTTCATTGAAAACTATATCTCGACTTGTGATACGCGTCCTGTGACTTAACTCTATGCACCACGACTAATAACTCCTTTTGGGTATCCAAGAAACATACATCTCAGAGCTCTAAGTTCAACCTTTTATTGCCTAATGTGAGCATAAGTTAAGCAGGCAAATGCTCTAAGTCTGTTGAGATTTGGTGGATGTCTCGACCAGACTTCTTTAGGTGTCTTCATCTCCAAGGCAGTTGAGGGTCACCTATTTATCAAGTATGATGCAGTTGCAGCAGCCTAAGTTGAAAACACCTTCTTCAATCCAACACTAACCAACACGCACTTCACTCTTTCTAGAATGAATCGGTCAAACCTTTGAGGCAAACCATTTTGTTAGGGAGTATCTACATTAATCTCGTGCCTTATAATACTAAACACAACACAATAGCTATCGAAAGTCTCATTTAAAAATTCAAGACCATTATCGGTTTTTAACCTCTTGACCTTCCTGCCAGTTTGGTTTTCGACCAGAGTCTTACAACTTTTGAAATTCTCAAAAGTTTCATCCTTAGATTTCTGAATGAATATCCATAACTTTGGTGAGTAATCATTAACTATGAATAGAAAATATCTTGCACCTGAGTGTGAATGATTTATTGCAATCCCCCACTGATCAACATGAATATAATTAACGGATCCACGTGTTCTTTGTTTACCTTTGTTAAACTTCACCCTACATAATTCACCAAATATACAAGGTTCACAAAACTCCAGTTTTTTGACCTTGTCACTACATAGCAGATTTTGTTTTAACAGTTCAACCAAGCCTCTTATACTGATATGGCCAAGTCGCTTGTGCCATAACTCAATCTTCAACACGGATTTTGTATATGCCACATTTGTTGAACCACTTACAACCTCAGCCACAATGGTATATAGGTCTTGCCACTTGATGTCTCTCAAGACTTCCTTTGACCCTTCCGTTATCCTTAGGATACTTTTTTCTCCTTTGAACACATATTCTTTCTTATCGAGTTCACCAAGAGAAATCAATTTCCTCTTAAGTTCAGGTACATGTCTGACATCAGTCAATAGTCTTATTGTCTCATTATGGAGCTTGAATCTTACAGATCCAATATGTGCGATTTTGCAGGCTTTGTTGTCCCAAAGAAACACTGATGCACCATCTTGATCACATAGTTTCTCAAACACATCTTTGTTTGAAGTCATGTGCCAAGTGCAACCTGAATCAATAATCCACTCTTTGCCAGAATTGTTACTTAAAACCACCAGGACATCAGATGATTCATAACCATCTTGCAAAATGACTGCATTACCATTATCCTTTCCACCGTGATTATTCAGTCGAACAGGGCACACTTTCACGTGTGTCCCTCCTTATTACAATGATATTACCTAATAGCTTGAGCATTACCACCATAAGAATTTTATAGAACTTTACCATTCTTCTTCTCATACTTACCATCTTTCTTTGAGAACTTTCCTTTTATGAACAATCCTTCACCAATAGAAGATGATTTTTGCTATTTCCTTTCATTTAAATCCTTCGAGTACAAGGTTGATTAAACTTCTTCAAAGTTTAGAGGCTTTATTCCATACAAGATAATTTCTTTAAAGTGAGCATGGGATCTTAGTAAAAAACACAACAACAACACTTGATCTTCATCACTGATAGTGACCTCAATATTCTCAAAATCAAGAATTAGCTTATTGAACATATCAAGTTGCTCAGTCAATATTTTGTCTTCATTCATCTTGAATGAATACAAGATTTGCTTCAGGTAGAGACGATTGACCAACAATTTCGTCATATACAAACCTTCGAGTTTCGTCCACACACCAGCTGTAGTTTTCTCCTTTGAAACATGTCGAAGAAAATTATCACCAAGATTCAATACAATGGCTTTGTGGGATTTCTCTATTATCTTTGTCTTCTCCTTCTCTATTAGAGAAACATCCTTCTTCTTCGATCCTTTCAATGCCTCTAACAAACTCTGTTGAACCAGAAGAGCTTGCATCTCCAAGCACCATAAATCGAAATCATTCACACCGGTGAATTTCTCAATCTCATACTTTGTTGACAACATTTTCTCCTCCACGCACAATGCACCAATTTTTTGTGAATGCAATGTCCATAAAACGGAGTATGATTAGTTTTTTGGTTAATAAGAAAGCCACAAAGTATAAGAAAAAAGAGAAGAAGAAGAAGAGAAAGACGATTCAAAGTGGTTAAAAACTGGATTCTTGATTCAATTACACATTAGGGAAGAATGTTTACAATTGAAATTCAACCATACCACTTTTTTCACTTTGATTAGGATTATCAAAGATTGATGGAGAAATGGTGACTAGTATGCAATTTATAAGAAAACTAAACCCTAACTTTTAACATACTAAACAACTGACCTAACAAGCTGACACAATTCGACATGTTAACTTAAACTACAAGCTAACATATTTCGAAAGCATGTTAGAACAAACTTCGACTACCACACGCACATCTTCGACTCTACATATTTGAACAGACATCGACTACAACATATACAACTTCTGTAAAAATAAGAAGTTATCTCTGTCGAGAGTAGAGTTTGATCCTAATACAATACTTTTATTTAGAGATGTCGGTGCTACATAGTGTAGACCATCTTATCATAATATAATGTTAAATAGCTCCATCTGCGCCCAAATCATCAACCGACTATAAATAATTAACTCCACATAGAATTTCATAGTTTCACAAGTGTTATTAATTTTAAAATGACAAAAACATCCTTATTTAAAATTAAATTAAATTTGAGTGAAAGAAAAAAAAAAGTAAAGAATTGAATATCATGGCCTCTCTCACCATTTCTTTTGTAGTTTGAGGAGAAGATAAAACATGTGGGTCCATAATGTTTTCTTTTCTCTCCTGCCAAGTTGGAGAAATTTAACACTTCTCTTATACTTCTCTTGTGTGTGTCTCTCTCTTTCTCTCTGTTTATTTCAACTCTTCCAATCACACCAATGTTACATAACAAAAATTTTCAGAAAGGACTTCGTAGACAAGGACGGAAATATACCATCTTCATGTCATTTTTTCTAAATTTACCCTATATGATAGGGAAAATGGGTATTATCACATATAAATTTAAGTCAAGATACATATATAATATTAAGAGAAACACAAGAATCATTTTTAACATATGTGAAGTATTAAATGTTACACAATTGTTAAAAAAAGAGATAATTATATTTTTATTATACACTTTCAAGTTTAGACGATCAATGGTAAATTCCTCATTCAAAGATCCAACCTTTATTCTCTCAAAATTCAAGGAAGAGAAAATGATGTTTATAAAAAGAGTGTGAGAAGACGGAAATAATTGAGAAATATGATAGATTTATTATATCATTAAGTACAAGAGATAGAGAGAGAAAATAGAAGAGAAAACAATATGGATTGTTCTTTTTTTTTTCTTTTCTTTTTATCAATATTATTGATTGTTTTTTTAAAGTACAAAGGTATTCTTGAATTTAAAATTACAATCACATTAACTTTAAGTTTTATTTGAATTCAATTCATCAATTTACTAAATATAGGTTAAAATATTGTTTAGAAGTATAATTCATAATGTTAAATTAAATATTTTTTTATTATTTGATTAAATATTTATGTATATATATTTGCCAAATAATTTCAATAAATTATGTCTATAGTACAGACCACTTAATTTTCATCCCAAAAATGTATTTAATTCTAATAACTAACGTATTGATAGAATTAACTTTAATGACCATTTGAGTAAAAAAAAGAGTTGGCCAACTAATTCTAAAAAAGAAGAAGAAGTAGTTTGGATGTGTCATAGTTGCTAGGTAAAATAAGAGAATAAATATAGAAAAGTAAGAAAATCATAACTAATATAAGAAGGTAAACGCCACCTCAAAACAGATAAATATAGTTTTATTTTGACAAAAAATTACAGTTATAATTTGTTTTATCCTATATTTGGATTCTTATATTGATACAAATAAAAGTCCAAAATGAAAGAGGTAAATTGAGGAAACCAATAGAACAAATTGAAATTGTAAGAATTAACCATGGGGGCTTCTGCTGTGCCTGCTGCATGTTATGAAGTAAATGTTGTTAATCCAAGTAAAATATGGCAAACTGGCAATGTTCTACAAACTGAACTCCCTGTTCTTGCCATTCAAATTGTCTTTCTCGTAATTCTATCTCGTATGTTCTTCTTTGCTTATAAACCCTTTCATCAAACTCTTCTCGTTGCATATATATCTGTAAGTATTTCTGTAAGCATTTATATATAAAAAAAACATGTTTGCATGTTTATATGTTTTTTTTGTTGATAATTTGTGGGTGTTACAAATGTAGGTTGGTTTTCTACTAACTCCACCATTACTTGGGAGATACACAGAAATTTTCACCTTTGTTTATCCTATGACTGGGGTGCTCAATGCTGAAGTTATAGCAAGTGTTGGGGTCATATACTATGCATTCCTAAGTGGTTTGGAGATGAACTTGGATACTATTTTACATGTTAAGAAGAAAGGTGCAACCATTGCAATTTGCGGGATCGTCTTTCCATTGGTGATGGGACCGGCTTTATACACTCTACATCGAAAAGTTTATGCCAACGGCGATGGAGCATTACTTGAAGAAAGTACAATGAATGCTTATCTATTATGGACTTTAGTTCTTACTGTCACTGGTTTTCCTGTTATAGCTCATACCCTTTCTGAGTTGAAGCTTCTTTATACTGGTCTTGGTAAGGCTGCATTAACGGCATCTATGATCAGTGACACGTATGCTTGGATTTTATTCACGATATGCGTTCCATTTTCGGTTAATGGTGTAATGGCAATATACTCTGTGTTAAGCACCATACTTTTTGCTATCATTTGCATCTTTGTGGTGCGTCCGATCGTTGTAACAGTCATTGATCGCAAGATGGAAAGGGATGAATGGGATGAAAGCCAATTACTCTATGTGATTATGGGGCTTTTTCTTTGTGCACACATAACAGATGCTCTTGGCACACATGACATTGTCGGGGCTTTTATTTTTGGGTTGATTTTACCTCATGGTAAATTTGCTGACATGGTGGCGTCATACACTGACGATTTTGCCGGCGCAATGTTGGCGCCACAGTACTTTGTTGGCAGTGGAATGAGACTCATGGTGACATCCATCTTCTACCAGCCAAATTGGCCCTATACACTTCTGGTTATATTATTGTTGTGTGTTCCAAAGATTTTAAGCACTTTGTTTGCCACATTCTTTTTTGGCATGCATTCTAAAGATGGTTTTGCTCTAGGAATGATTCTCAATACAAAGGGTGCCATTGCATTGATAATGCTCAACAGTGCTTGGGATAGATCAGTACTAATCTATTTCGAACTTTTACTTTACTCTATTTTAATTGCTCACAAATCAAAATGATAGCAATTTAATCCATGATTTGTTATATGTGTGATTGCAGATTCTATCGATACCAAGCTATGCTGTTTTAACCTCTGCAGTCCTTTTAATGACTGTAGTGGTGTCTCCCGCCATCAATGCCATATACAAGCCTAGAAAGAGATTCGAGCAGAACAAGCTAAAGACTATACAAAAGCTAAGGCTAGATGCAGAGCTCAGGGTTCTAGCATGTGTTCACAATATTCGCCAGGCCACAGGCATTACCAGCCTCATTGAAACTTTCAATGCCACTAGAATTTCACCTATACATGTTTTTGCACTTTACCTGGTTGAACTCACAGGACGTGCGGCTACAGTTGTTGCTGCTCATATGGAGAAGCTTAATAGCCAACCTGGAGCACAAAATCTTACAAGAACCCAGATAGAGCTAGAAAACATTAAAAATACCTTTGAAGCATTTGGAGATGCATATGATGCTGTCAGGATTCAAACCTTACATGCTGTGTCAGCCTATGAAACCGTTCACGAGGACATATACAACTCAGCTAATGAAAAGCGCACAAGCTTGATTATCCTTCCATTCCACAAACAACTAAATTCAGAAGGTGCACTTGAAACAACCAATGTCGCGTACAGAGATATAAACCTGAATGTGATGCAAAGTGCACCTTGCTCTGTGGGAATCTATGTTGATCGTGATCTTGGGTCATTACAGAAAACGAACTTTCGCATTCTTATGATTTTTGTTGGAGGTCCTGACGACCGGGAAGCGTTAGCTGTTGCATGGAGGATGGCGGGCCACCCAGGAACCCGATTATCAGTGGTTCGGATGCTCCTGTTTGATGAAGCTGCAGAAGTAGACACCTCAAGTCATGCTGAAGCACAAGGCATACTATTTGTTGTAATGGATAGTGAGAAACAGAAAGAGTTGGATGATGAGTGTGTGAATTCATTTAGACTGACAGCGGTAAATAACAATGATTCTATAACCTATTCAGAGGTTGATGTCCATTCAGGTGAAGATATTCCCACAGTCCTCAATGAGCTAGACAAATTTGGTTGCGATTTATACATAGTTGGACAAGGGAATCGTAGGAGCTCTCGGGTCTTTTCAAGTTTACTAGACTGGTCCGACTGTATAGAACTTGGAGTTATAGGAGATATTTTGGCATCACAAAATTTTGGTTCGGGCTCATCTGTGCTAGTTGTGCAACAATATGGGTATGGAGGAATGGTTTTGGGAAAGCAATCCAACAATGTGACCACTAACAGCGATGGTTTTAAGTCACTTGTCGTGAAAACAGAATAAGAATAATGGTTGGTGAAGAACTGACCTGCACAACGTGAAAGGCTTGCTTACAAAATTCAAGCAAGTTTGAGATGATACTAAATTTTGTTCTGTATTTAGATTTGGTACCCCGAGAGTTGATTAGAGGATGCTTCCACTGTTCCATTTTGGTTGCCTACAATGGTACACATTTGTATCTAATAACATGAAAAGAAAAGTAATCATGTCTGTTTGGAAAAAGATTGTTTTAGTGGTAAGGTTCTCTCTCCACTGAGAATGCAATGTGTATAAAAATCTATATGAATCATTGCCTCAGAATTCTGTGTCAATCTAAAGGTCACAATTACCATATTGTAATCACATTTTGATTCGATAAATAAAATTGACTTGCTCAATCATATATGTCAAGAGGACTAGATTTTTTTTATTTTTTATTTTTATAAATTTTGCCGTGCTCAAACCTGTGAGCAGTGGGTAGTATGGTTTTATCAAACAATCAAAATTAAACTCAAGAATCTTTCGTTTTTAAACCATTTTCACATGAAAAATACAACATTAGTATAGTTCAAATAGCATGAAAAAGTGAAAAACAACATCATTGGAACAGAAGATAATAATTCTAGGTGATAATTGTTTTTAGATATATTTACACTTTCTTCTTCATATTGATGATTCAGTCAAGAGGCTTTCTTTCTTAGTAAGCCATGCACATTGAGCTCATTGATCTTAGCAGCAAGTATGATGTCATTCTCTGTCAGCCCGCCTACATGAACATGGATCACTTCAAATGATGTTCTATTGTGGATATAATATGTACTCCCGCCATTCTCATATATAAGCAAAAAAGTAACCAAAAAAGAACAAGTGCTCAGTAGAAAAACAAGAAAAATAACATTAAGCGGAAATTCTGGGAAGAAGTTAACACACAACAATGGAAGGATTGTTCAAGCCTGAATAAGCCGGAAAATGACCATTAATCATGAATGGTTAATCTATTTTAATCAAATGTAGTAGATAGTACTACTACTATTATCAACGCAATTAACATTAATCATGAATGGTTAATCTATTTTATTTATTTATTTAAAGATAAGCTGACGTAAACTTGATCAAAACGCTCTAAGTAGGGTATAGTATACACGCTACTATTCATTAAATAATATTGTGGTAGATTTACAAGTAATGATAAAGTCTGAAAATGAAAAAGGTAACAGAGAGTATTCAATAGACCCTTCACCATACCTTACTATTCTCTACTTATTTTCCTCCTCTATCTTTTCCCCATCTCCTTTCCAATACCTACCTGGATTAGCTTTATCTCCTGACACCCTATTTCATTTCCTTACATAAATAACTCAACTTCCATTGATTGTATGACATGCAACCTGATAAATCAGTTTATTCGGTTCTCCTTTATTTCCTCTCTGAGGTTTCCTAATGCATATGTTGGTAAAAGGTGGTTTTGTAACATAATCATATACGTATACACAACAAGCAAGCCTTACCCCCTAACTCCCTAAGTGAGGTTGGCTACATGGATCAAGCGACACCATAATGTTCTACCATATAACATATCTCTAGCATAATCATATATGTATATAAGCTACAAAAATTGAAATTACAATAGCTATGGTATGAAGCAACAAAATGTATCATAGCTTGAATGAAAAGCGTATCAATCTTCCCAAATCCATAGACATTCTTTATAAAATCCATAGCACACAATATACCTCTTAAGTTTTCCAAGAGAAGAAAAATAGTGAAATCAAAACCCCTAAGTACTTTTTTTTTGTCTTTAAGTATTCACAGTAAATATATTGTATAGCAGCGTTAATTGAAGATGGAATATTGGATAGATATCTATAAATAAATAGAAAATCAATCTTCATATATTTTATTTTCAAAGAGGAAATAAGATAAAATAATTTGAATAAATAATGCATACCAACAGAATGAGTCCAAATCTCTATAGTAACATTATTCCAGCCAACAAGGTGAAGATCAGGATGATGACCTGCATTATAGAAACATTTTCTACTGTAATATCAAATCAATAATACTTAAATAAATAAATAAATAAAATACCTTGAGCTTCAGCAAGATCAGCTATAATTCTGAAAAATTCCAATCCTTTGTTAAAAGATTTAACTTTCCATGATCTACTCAGTTTCAAAGAACCGCCTTCATTTACCAAATTCCACTCGGAAACCTGATAATGTCAAAATTGAATAACAAAAAATATTGAAAATGATTGAAATAACCAAAAAAAGTTATAATAAGAACCTGTGGAATGAGAGAATGCGCTGCATCTTCTGTCATAGGTTTCAATTCCTTCGAATTGCACGGAACGCATGTTTTCGTTGATAGATCTAAATCTTAAAAAAATCAAATTAAAAAAAAAGTGATGAAAATTTAAAGTGTTGTGATTAGTGTAAGAAAGAAAAAGCGAAAGATGAAGTTAGAGGTAGACGCGTTCACCATTGGAAGCTTTGGTGGAAGTAGAAAATGATGAAAGTGGGAGTTGATTGCTGTGATGCATGTTGGAATGGATTAATCTGAAATGGAATTAGGTAAGAGTGAGGATGATGATGATGATGATGATGATGATGAATGGAAAGTGGAGAAAGAGAGAATTGGAAGAAATGAATTACCGTGTTGATGGAAGTGTGGCGGAGAGTGGAAGTAGAGGGTGGCGAAGGTTGAGGAGAACTCTATTCATTGCATTCAACATGCGCATTTGAATTTTTTTTTAAACCAACTACAATTTTCAACCGTAGGTATATTTAAATACCTTTAACAATGATAATAGAAGCAATTGTTATACTCTAAATTTTGACCCCTAGATCCTCTCATTATTTTAGGAGCATCAACATTGTTTATCTAATCTTATCAGAGTTCAAGTTTGTCTTTGTCAAATGCGCATTCAACAGTTTTAATTGGATCATAAAATGAGCTTGACATCTTAAGTTCTGAAAAAGACTTAAAAAAAAAAAGAAGTAAACTTTTTTTTGTACATAATTCAACACTCCCACTACTTATGTATATTTTTCTCATCTTCAGTGCATAATACACAGGAAAATAGTTTGAGTCTTTTTGTACCAATCAAGGCATATCACAAGAAGTCGCCTCACTATCTATTCAACACAATGGTTTGGTAGAAATAAGAAACAAAATCATAATTAATATAACTAGAAGTACGGTAAAACATAAGAACATGCATCATAAAGTTATGCGGGAATGTAATCAACACAACTAACTGGATCCTAAATAAGTGTTCAACCAATAAGCTGGAGATAAAAGTGTCTAGGAAGCTTGGAGTAGAATAAAACCAAGTCTAAAGCATCTAAAAGTATTTAGTTCACTATGTTCCAAACACACACTTGATCAAAGAAACAGTAAGTTGGATGACAAAAAGTGAAAGCATGTTGTTCATATATATCACTCAACAGGAGCCTGTAAGTTGTATAATCCTATGTCTCAAAAGGTGCACATCAACAAATATGTGATTGTCGATGAATCACAAGCATATAATTGGTAGGATACATCGGAGAAAAGAAGTAATTTCAATCACAGTTTCCTTGAACTTTGACAAAGTGAATATTCAGATGAAGAAAGTCATGTTGAAGGTACTTAACTAGCTAATTATGGAACAAGAGAAGATCAAACACATGTGAGGCCAAAGAGAACAAGCCAAGTTCCTATTAGTCTTGTAATTAAGTTATTACCTGATAATGCATTTAGTAATGAAGGTGAACTCAATTAGTTTTCTCAATTAAATGATGTTGAGCCAATCAGCTATGATGAGACAATGAAGAGTAAGGTGTGGAGGAAAGCTATGATTGAATAACAAAAATCAATTAAAAATAATTATTTCAGTGAGTTGGTTAATCAACCTGAAATGAAGACAAATATTAATGTGGAGTGGATCTTTAAGATAAAAATGAATACATATGGTACAATTTCAAAACATAAGGTAAGGTTAGTGGTTAAAGGCTTCTTGTATGTATATTGCATTGACTATAATGAAGTGTTATATCTCTGACAATACTTGAGACAATGAGACTAGTCAGGGCAATAGCTATTAGTAGGATTGGTTCCTCTATCACTTATGTGTCAAGTCTATATTCCTAAAAGGTTCATTAGAAGACATAATTTTTATCACTTAACCAGCCAAATTTTATGTGAAAGGCAAGGAACACATCGTGTACAAGTTGCACAAAGATTTTTATGGGCTAAAGAAAGCCCATAGGATCTAAAAATGCACAATTGAGTATGGTGTGTATGTGTAAAGTTCCAAAAACTCAAGTAACATAGTGATATGTTTGTATGTGGGTGACCTGCTCATTAGTGGTCATCATTCAGCTACGATTGATAATCTAAAGGGCAAAATAAAGGTTGAGTTTGTGATGACTGATTTAGGTAAGCTCGCACACTTCCTTGGCATGTAATTTGTGAAAATCAAAGAAGGCATGGAAATGCATCAACATAAATATGTGAGGGAGTTATTGGGCATATTTGAAATGAATGATTGCAACACAATCATGAATTCATGTGAAATAAATGCAAAATCTTGATGAATGTCGTGATGAAGAAAGAGTGAATGCAATCATGTACTTCCTTCGTCCCATAATGAGTGACCCATTTAGAATAAAAGAGTGTCCTAAAATGAATGACCTGTTTCAATTTCCAATGAATCTTTTACAATTTTACCTTTTAATTAATATTACTTTATCATTCCCAATACATGTACTTTAGTAAAAATATCATTCACTCTATTTCAATTATTCTTTTTTCTCAATATGTGTGAAATGGTCAACCGGATCACTCATTGTGAGATGAAGGGAGTATAAGCAACCTGTAGACTCATTGAGGTACTTACGCCGTAGCATACCTGAAATATGCTATACAATGAGCATAATAAACAAACTTATGAATGTGCCCATGAAATCTCTGACTAGAAAGAGAATACTTAGTTACCTAAAAAGAACTATGAAGCATGACTTTTATTTTCGGCTGTGGTGAAAGAAAAGAATGCATGCTTGATAGAATATTCATATTTTGACTAGTGAGGGGAATAAATCGATAGAATGAGTACTTCAAGTTATGTGTTTAAATACAATGATGCAATCATATCTTGGTGCACAAATAATGTTGAATCACAAGGTATACTATCAGCATTAATGGATAACGAGAAACAAACGGAGTTAGACGAAGAATATGTGAATTCATTTCGACTAACAGCAGTGAACAACGATGACTCTATAACATATTCAGAGATTGATGTTCATTCAGGTGAAGATATTCCGAAAATACTTAACCAAATAGATTCATATGGTTGTGATTTGTATATAGTTGGACAAGGTAATTGTAGAAACTCTCAAGTGTTTTCAGATATGTTGGAATGGTGTGATTGTCCGGAACTTGGAGTTATAGGGGATATTTTGGCGTCGAATAATTCTGGTTCACGTTCTTCTGTGCTGGTTGTGCAACAATATGGATATGGAGGAATGGTTTTAGGAAAACAGTCTAAAAATGTGAGTACTAATGAGGATGGTAGTAAAAAACTTTTTGTGAAATCAGAATAAGAATGATGGTTTTCTTTTGTATGTAGATTTTGTAGCTGATTCATTTATATGTAAATAAAATTTTATTTATTATCCTATACATTAATGCTTTAACACTTAGCACTTTTAGAAACATCATAACATGAAAGTATGCAATTTATACCTAAGAGTATTACTTACAACAAATTTTCTTAACTAACAGACAACTAGAAAGTATTAAACCTACTCAGTAAACACTAATACGATAAGACTATTGGTCTTACATTACTATTTTTCTGAAAAAGAAATTTCATTCTTGAAACTTAAGTAAGAGTAACAAACACATCTCTGATACCATCATCGACTCTTTATATTACTTGTGTTTTATTAGCAGTATTTACTATGTCACATAATCCTCCTTGCCTTTTTATTAGCAGTATTTACTATGTCACACATCTCCTATTTCATTGTCAAAGAGATTATTTCAGGCTATACAAAGACCTATTCAATTAACTTGCACATAATCCTCCTTGCCTTTTTTTGCATACACTTCAGGTTGCTTCATCAAAATTGTTTCATCTAGATTGTTTCATCTAGATCACAATACAAGAAAATTTTCTTCACATCCATCTGTTCAAGTTATAGGTCAAACTTCACCACCATAGAAAGCAATATTCGAATGAATCTATGCTTTACAACAAGTGAGAACACATAATTGAATTCAACGCCTTCTTTCTAAGTGACCCCCTAGAAACCAATCATTCCTTAAATCGCTTCAACATCCCTCCCTCGTTTCCTTCCTTAACCTTGAAAGTCCACTTACAACTGACTAACTTGGTCCTTGCAGGTTTCTCGATCAGCTCCCAAGTGTTATTATCATGAAGAGATTTCATCTCATAATCCATACCTTTCAGTCATTCATTTTTATTTCGACTCCTTACAGCTTCCTTGTAGTCTTTAGGTTCTTCATCAAAAACCTCACTTGCATAAATTAAGGCAAAAACTATGAGATATACATAATCGAGTCTCTAAGATAGCTTGATGACTATTCTCGATCTGTCTCATGCCAGGAGGTAGTTATTATGAGTCTCCTCAACTTCGTCAACAAGTTATGCTTATTCTTCAACTTCATCTGGGGTATGCAATTCAATATCACTATGCTCCAGCTCAACATGAATCTCTTTCTATTATAGATCTTCTGCAGAGATCGCTGTCTTTTGACCAACATCACCAGTTTTCTTGAACGTCATTTCTGCTTCATTGAAAACTATAGCTCAACTTGTGATACGCGTTCTGTGACCTAACTCTAGGCACCACAATCTATAACTCCTTCAGGGTATTCAAGAAACAAACATCTCAGAGCTCTAAGTTCAACCTTGTCTTGCCTAATGCGAACATAAGTTAAGCAGTCAAATACTCTAAGTCTGTTGAGATTAGGTGGATGTCTCGACTAGACTTCTTCAGGTGTCTTTATCTCCAAGGCAGTCGAGGGACACCTATTTATCAAGTATGATGCAGTTGCAGTAGCCTAAGCTGAAAACACCTTCTTCAATCCAACACTAACCAACATGCACTTCACTCTTTCTAGAATGATTCGATTAAACCTTTGAGGAAAACCATTTTGTGAGGGAGTATCTAAAGTAATTTTATGCCTTATAATTGACAC